CAAACGGCAACTCTGTGTACTTGGATTTTCGACGTGAGGTTCATTCGACAGTGGAAGACCGATTACGTTTCGGTAGTGTTCCGCGGAATACCCGAGATTTCATCTTTGCAACACTACTGACGAATGAGTGAAATCACACGTATTCCGAGGTTCGATCCCCGCCACCGGCACCCAAATTTGGTGGCAGGCAACTGCGCTGTCGTCCGGGCCACTTCCGGGGAGTTGGTTACCGGTCTCCATCACTAAACTGCAGGTCCTCGTGACTATGGGGTTTACCCTGTCTGCTGTTCATCACACGAAAGTGTGTAATTAAAAAAAACAATTTCAGAAGTCTGTTTCCAGTATGTACAAAAGTGTCGTCATTATTAGTTGACTTTATAATGATCACAGACGAAAATCACGTGAGCAATAATCAAGGTGTGAAGTAGGCAACCGGGTGAATAGGACAACAAACAGTGAAAAACAAAAAATATCAAGAAGAGATCAATCACGACAAGGAGTAGGGTGAAAATAAAACAAGAGAGAAAGACGTTCTCGAGAGAAAAAAAGAGAAAATTCCAAATAACAACAAAGACAAGACAGCAAAAAGGGCACTTTGACTCGATGATATGGGTATGGTTAAAGAGCGAAATTCGTAAGAACAACATAAAGCAAAAAACAAACAGTTCAAAGCTGTCGTGAGGTTGTTTGTCGTTTGCGCAAAGAAAAACGACCAAGTCGCGGTCGAGATTGCGATGAAGAATTGGCGGTCATTTCACTGTTCGCTTGCATCGTGTTGACCATTTCCGATGTTCGATTGGCTCGATGCGCGAGACGTGTGAATTGTTGCGAGACTGTGCTACGCAAACCTTTGAAATCCTTCGCACTGGACACACTGTAGCTTTAGAAAGGACAAAAAAATACAATGAAAAGATACACGAGAACGATTACCGGATGCCCCATTGATTCGGGTAATTTGGTGAATCTAGTGGAAAACTCGGACCAGCACCACGGGGAGACAAACCCACTGTGAATTGCATTGCGGGTGGAAAGGTAACTTACATTGGAAGAACGATTCCCCAACCGACTGAACATATCCTGAATTGAGTTCAACGTCAGAAAGATTGCAAAGGATTCATTCAGTGGAGAATGTATATATATATATATATACTTCAGTCACCGACAGGTATTTGCCTGAAATACGTGACCAGACTGACAGCCTCGGTGGATTTATCATCGGCAGTACGATTCAATCGGCGCACCGGTCAGACAGGTTGGGTGCAGAGTTTTAGCTAACCGCGATCGCTCACTGGAACAGGTGATCAACCTCCACAGATTACTTTGGCTGGGGGCGCATGTCACCAAATAGGTTGCCATGGTGAGCGACATTTACTGAAGCAGGTGGCGCCTGGAAAAATGCCAACGGTGGTCAAACTCAGAACTGGCATGAGGGTATGAAACCTCTAACCAGGCGTCTGGGTCACACAGGTCCCGTTAGGCTCCCAAGATGGGGGCCTTGGGATCATCGTAATCAATCATTAGAGATACCAAATGATATGACTGAGTGTCGTGCAATCTTAGTTCACTGAAATTCTTCATTTTCTCATCGACTCCACTTTCAACTTTCCTATTTTTCTCTCACTGCTTCAGCCAAAAGAAAGCAACCAAAACCGGCGCACGAAGGTGTATGGACTAACGATTGTACAAAGCGAACCGAACTGCTAAACCAACGACCTTCGTGTACTTAATCAAACTGACTCATAGTGTGCATCCATTTTCAGTTTATAGAGCTATTAAACATGCAGTTTTGGTTGCTGTGTTTTAGCCACCTATTTCTATGAAGGGTTGGAAGTAGTATCAAGCGAAAGATAGAAAATTCAGACAGACTAAGGGTGCAAGGAGATTGAGTAGATGAACAAGCTATACTAATCATGACATTTGGTTATATTGCTTAGAGTGCCTCTAACTGTCGTCTGCATGGATCTGGAGGTCCCCATCCCGAAAGCCCACCGACAACGATCTATATGAACAGGTCTCCTGATGGTCGGGATTTTCGTTCCCTTATGTTGGGTTTTGGTTTGATCACTCTTCACTTTTCCACCTTTCTTTCTTTATGTTACTTCCTTTTATTGAATATAGAAAGATACAATTTTCAGGAACGGGGAAGCGGCCAATCAAAAGACTGCCATTCAACGGATACAATGGGGAAAGTCAGGCACTGGTGGTGGGATTCAAACGCACATCCTCCGGGGTGTTAAGTTGGTGACATTACCACCGGGCCACCTACCCACCTGTCTCAGGAAAAATTCGCACGACGTGGTAGACAATGCCCATAGGCATTCGAATTCAATATATCGTTTCAGGCAAATCGCGAGTGCATAACGCGTGATGGCATCCGGTGGTCATATGATTCCGTTGTTGTTTTGAGGTACTAGTCACATTTGTGAGTGGTGTGCAAGCACAAAGAAGCGGTGGTTAAAGTTTCACGACACCTGCGAATGAATTAAAGAATCTATTATGGTAACTACAGAAAACAGACTGTCAGGCTGATGATCACCGATGAGGAGACGTTCACAAAAATAGTGATCAACTGTTGCAAATTAGGTGTTTCGTCCTGTGCTCTTGCAATAAACCACTTCGTCAAACCGGCACCGGATTTGCGGAATTCTAGCACCGCTATAGTCGTTCCTAGCCTAATGCTTAAAAGTCAGGTGGGGAAGAATTTAACTGAATTTAAAAACAAAATTCAGCGACCAGAGCTCAATGCGATTAGCCTATCGCGGAAAAGTATCAGTGCATTGGGCGTGTGCGCTCAATCTGTATACAAGCTTCGAACATAGATGTAATGCACATCTCAATCGATCAACAATTCACACCACACGAACGAAACAAGCCGGTGGGATGATCGGACCGCGTACCTCGAACCAAACGATGAACTAGCCAACCGCAGGTAGGCGAATAACGCGATTGCCTGTAGTTCAGTGGTTGTGTAGAGTGTCGTAGTGCACGTACAACCGAAACAG